GTCAAGCCGTACCCAAAAATTTACCAAGAACCCCTTAGTGGTTATGGACTGTTGAACTGGCTGATAGAAGTTTGTCAAATCGTCATACATGCATGCACATGTACAACACTACTACTACTAGGATCGGGGCAGACGTCGATGCACACAATGGCATCTATTATCATGTACTTCTTGTTCGAAGTACAATCATGTACACGTACACGTAGCTCTGTTGACATTGTGTTACAACTCTTCACATTGTCATTGGTGATAGAGAAAATTGACAGCATTGCCACTGCATGCATCCTAAGGGACCGATTTGGGGTGAAGAAGAAACGAAATCCGTCATTGGTGCCAAGTAATGGCCGCTTCGTATTGTAGTGTTTTCCACACCCCTGCTGATGACCGTGTGATCTCGGGCAGCAACGTTACATCCAACAGAATGCTGGTATCTTTGCAGACTCAGCGAAGTCAATGCGTTCACGTGGACAAGTTGATGCAGGATACAATACTGGATTCCAGGAAGTGCTATCGTTTGTAACTAACTGTCAATTATCGACCTACTGTGGAGAAGTAACAGATGATGTGCAATAGATACATGACTTTGTAGCGTCGGCTCCACCTGCTTCAAAGACAGTCAGTTGTTTGATAAGTTACTCTACGCAAAACATGCGGTGGGTTTCCAAGCCAAGGTGTTGGACTGTAATCAAGTACAATGCAATATCAGAGTGTCGGTGGATTTCGTCTTGCGCAAATGTACCAGTTTCCGAACAGCTGTTTCGGGCGCGAGAACTCTCCCAAAGCCAAGAGCTGCAGGGTGTTAAAATCTCACGCGGAGCTGTAGAGGCCAGGACGGCTGTTGTCGATAATCATCATTGTGCTCAGCATTGATCATATCAATTACCGTGGGGAAAGACTACGCCTTGAAGGCCCTTTTCTCTTCTTCTATACATGTACATGTACAAGGCTGATAAGTGATGTTAGCAAGAGTGCACAACCATGGCCCCAGGGGTTATCATGGTTTTGCACTCTTGATTCTAGTGTAGATAGAGTGGGAATTTCAATTTTGTAATCCACGACTTCTCACCCCAATCTCCAAACCATGGCATTGCCATTGGCATTGGCTCCCGAGTCACCGTGGCATGGCAACGACTTGCAATAACGACGCAAGTTACTTGAAGATCACCATGGAGACCTAGGGTCACTAGTATCCAGTGTCAGTGCCAGTGGGTGAGATGAATGACTGTAGTACCAGGAGTCCATTATGGACTCTTGATAATGATAGTACATTGCCGTGGTCATGACTCATGGGAAGCCTAGCTGGGAAACAGATTTCTCAACCAGTCCTATTTCTGTATTGAGCGTTTGTGGTCAGAGGTATTAGGTGACACATTCGTTGATCTTGTTCTCTGGGATTGTCTCACGAAGAACTTGTGGCTGTGGGTTACAGCTGTCGAGATAGTGAATAACCTCCTGCAGGTTATTCGTAGCGAATCGGGCAGGCATGGTGAAGAAGGGGGCGAGCGTCGCACGATTGGTAAAAAAGAAGAAGAGGTAAACAAGTACTGATTATCATGGGTAACTTGCCAGAGAGCTGTAATACCCTCTAATTACACACGAGTGAACAACTATCCTGTACGAATAGATAAACGTGATAAAAGCTTTCATTCCCCCCGTTGTGTGTGCCAATTGCCAAGGCAATCCTGAGGCAACATCGACAAGAGTGGTAAGTACTAAAGTAGCTGGTAACGTGCCCTTGCAGTTTGTTGACACTGCGCTGAATCAATCTGCCTTGACCGTGCACCACCCCGCGGGCCGTGGTACCTCACCTTGATCGGCGAACAGCGCTGATAGCTGCTGTCTTTTCACCTTCACACGCCCTCTCCTATATTTACAGTCTGCCGTGCAACTTTAGAAAAAGTAATTGTGTTTGTGATAAGTCAGAGCACCTGATATCTGCGTCTGATTATATCCCTCGCTAGCGTTTCCTGGCAGAATACCCGTCGAAACCCAGGCCAGAGGCCAGACTGCTGCCGTGCTGGTTGGACCCACTGCCAATCACATGCCCAGTACAAATCCATCCGTGGAATATGATTCGTCATCGACAAATACTTACGTTGATGGTCTCCTACATGTCAGTTGTATTCGAGGACATGTACAATGTACGTGAGGAAGAAAAGAATGATAATGCCTAGCAGGGACTGGAATGATTCAATCGGCCCCAGGCCTGCACGATCTCAAATTTAAATGTTCATTGGCTACAGTAATACAATGTTAGTCCAGGCCGTCGCGTCGCGGAGGTCTCAGCGATAACCATGATAACGGATTAGAAAATATTATGAATGGTAACTGATAGTACGATGGGGACGGTGAGAACTTTGGCCTGAGACACGTTGCCGCAAGCTAAGGCAGTAAGGGTATTGATAGGGGAACTGGCCACTGGAAACTACAACTAGTAGTACTGGACAAGTACAAGTAGGCACCCCCAGTCTACGGCTGCGTCACCAAATACAGCCACAGACCCGTCCATAGCCGGCCATGGCATATGCGCCTTGTCTTGCTCATATATTTGAGGATTTCCCAAAGACGTAGTCTAAATTGAAGGGAGTTCCATTATAATGGGAGGCTGTAGGGTTGAGATAGCAGACAGTGAAGGGCTAATGATTCGTCATGAACAGCCTAGCTAGAGAAATACATAATACAATTATGCTGAATGTTCCTTGGCCGAAGATAACTCTGCTCCAACATGACCCTGTCTGACATCGACAGCGTCCAACATCATGCATGTCTCCACTTTCCCAGCAGCACTCGAGGGTACTCAGAGACAGAAGTGCAGAGTGCGTGGTGCCGCTTCAGCGTCAACATAATAGTACTGTAGACCATATTGACCCGGGTAGGGGGGTAGAGTTTCCATAGCTCACTGGATTGATATCGGTTCGTTAAAACCAACCTTCACCTTCTTTCTTTTTTTCTCCTCTACTCACCCCCCCCCCCCCCCCCCCCGCTTAATTTATTCCCATTGGGCCCATTGTTATTAGGTGTATGCCTGTTTTGATTCCCACAATAAAGTATACAACAACAACAACAACAACGACAACCCGGGAGGATCTCGGAAAGCTCCATCGTCATGACTACCAGTTGAATATCGATGGTAACGGCAATGACTATGTAGGGTACTCCTGCTACCAGTGATAGACTTTCGTGCATATTGGGAGAACTTCGCAACTACGTAATTAAATAGGATAATCTCGCCGTGCGGTGACTCTACAATACATCCAAGTAAGGCTGTGCAACATGATGTGTATTCAGAATACCTGAACTGAAGCCTCCGTTATCGTTGCTTCAAGCTTGACATCCCCGCCTCAACCGACATGCCACTCCACGAGCCTCCCACTGCGATGGCTGTCTGTGGGCAGGCCTTGGCAGAAGATAATGTTTTGACGTCAACGGTGCAGCATCAGCTGTTCACACGTGCCCTAGGCCTCAATATGACTGTGTCGTGGAGTGTTTTGCTCCGCACCTCCCCTGCCGCGACCGGCACACCAGTAGGTGGCAGTGCATGAAGTGGTGATGTCCATAGACTCAGTGTACATGGTGTACATGGTGTATGAGCCTACTAAATTATACTATGAGGCCAGCCTGCAGGGATTTAGGCAGGGATATAAGCCGGGAATGGCAGGAGGAAAATAATAATAAGGTGTCATGTACATGTACATCAAGTTCAAGCTGTGACTGTACAATAACATCATACAGCTGTCCAGGTCTGGTTTGCAGTCTGGTAGACCAGTGTCCTGAGTGACCATCGACGAAGGACTGCGTTGTTTACCAACTCTGTGTTGTTGGGTGAGGACAGATGTTCGCAGACACACTTGGAACACCTTCTTTTGCGCTGCTTTCAAGTTTGGGTGGAGTTCCTGGGTGTTCAGGAGCAATGCAGATGATAGGCGGATAATCCGATTGCCAGCGTCGATGCACAGGGACGATGCGAAGAAGAACATATAAGGCTCTGCGGGCTCGTCTCCCCCCTCATAGTATCATAGTCATGTTCTGTCCCAATGGTCAACACCGTGCACAACGATTATCTCCGATTCTCGTCTCTCTCGTCTCTTTCTCTCTCTGCTGTCTCCAGACTCCGCACCGACCCTGTCATTCACTGATCGCGCATACAGTACTTTTAGCATTACAAAGGACCATGGTGACGTACCGAGCCGCTTGAAAGACAATTACAATGTATGTCCCAGCCACACTGATCTAGCTATGTCTCTTGTATGCCAGCTAAGGGCCGGATGCTGTGCGCTATCGGCACATTACCGGTCCTGTATGCAGGAATCGTCCACCCACAGGAAAGCCCAGCTTCAAGTGGCACCTTTGCCTGACTGACGGCTACTGTCTGTAGTGCATGTACTTCATGTACAGTACAATGTGCATACTAGTAATGGAAGAGAGAGAGAGGATCCAAGTGGGGAAACATTGTGACTCAAAGTTTCATGCGGAAGCAATCATCAGACAGTGATTTTGGCTGTTCACATCATCAGACAGTGATTTTGGCTGTTCACATCATCAGACAGCTGTTGTGGGTATACAGTATACGGTACAATCATGTAGACCTACTAGTTAATAGTACTAGTATGCCCTGATGATGCCCAATGGGCGAAATATTAGCGAAGTTATTTATTTGGTGCAGCTGAGAGCCTGTTGCCGGAATGGCAGTGTTTCCAAGTGCAAGAAATACGCTGCAATGGAGTTTGGGGAATTCTGAAGAAACGTTAGTATACAGACTTTACAGTATACAGTTTTGTAATGTAGGCCGCAACGCAGAACATGAATCAAGACTGTAGTGTGAATCTGCAAAACCTACAACATACATCTATAAAATAATCCAAGAGGGTAGTGACGGGTGCACTGACAGGGATACATACATGTACATGCACTAGCAAGAGTCCATGAGACCATGATAACACCCCGGGTTATGCCTCATGGACTCTTGATACTACGTTAGTGTCTCCCATTGAATGGATCTGTGACATTTTAAAATGCTTTTTTCTGTCTTCCTGATATCCAGAGAACCCTTATTTTGTTGGTGAACTGATACTGAATTATGCGAAGGATCATTCAAGGATGCATGGAAAATGCACATGAAGGAGCACAATGCATATACAGCAACATTGTGTTCTTGTGCCCACTCAGCGGCATGTTGCGTGTGATTTTTTTATGCAGCATGCATTGATTCAATTTGATTGTCACCGTATCGAAAGTAGGACATAATAATTATTATATTGCAGTCCAGTCATGCATTCAACGGCGGGTATTCATCATACGTGCGCGTGTACTTGTACACGTATCAGCCTTTGCTTGTAAAAAGTAGCTGGCGACGAGCAAGTTTGGCAAAAACATTGAATGCGTCACTGGAACAGTGGGGGGGGGGGGGGGGGGAGGGGGGGGGTGCTGTGAGTGGCGGCAGGGTATGAATGAAAGCCGCGGCTACACCTCTGCACCAAGCAGAATGGAGCAGTGCAGCGTCTCCAATCGCTATTTCATTGTATCAGGGTAGGCTAGGATAATGGTAGCACAGCAACACAATCATACTGCTGTGATGGCCAGTGAAATCTGCACTCACTCGGCCACAGTGTCATGCATACACTGTGCAGCTCACCGTAATCCAATGCAGTAACATGTATGGTGGCTGTGCATGCAAGCCACGTTCTCGTGTTTCATTGGACAGAGCTGTGGTGCTATATACTACTAGAGTAGTCATGTAGCTATGGGCAGCAGAAAGCAGTAAACCCAGTCGCTTGAAGACCCAAGGACGACAGTGCAGAGCATGGCCACCAGCAGCAGTAGAGACACTGTCCCAAATCAAACAAGACTGTGTCCGTGTGTACTGTACATTCCTGAAAGGCCGGTTGTGATCTGTTTGTTGATTCCAGTAACAATACTGTTGTGTTGTAGCGTGCGCTGCTTCACAGCAACATGACACATAATACGCACTGACAACCATAGGCCGGGTTCCTGGCCAGCATAGTATATAGTCCACCACCATTACCACCAACGTGACTTGCACCATGGCATCACCAACGCGACTTGCACCATGGCATCACCAGCGCGACTTGCTCCATCACCTCCAGCTCGACTTCCAGCACACGGAAAAAAAGATGGAAACTAGCCTTGCTCACGCGACTTGGCAACATTGCAGTGCAGAAAACTGATATGCAAATACCCCCTGCGATCAGTACACTGAAAGTGCTGGGGTACCACTGCTGTGCTAACATTACTACCAGTTACTCCATCACTGCAGTAGACTTCTGATGTAGCGGCGAGTGATGGCACCAAAATGCGAGCATAACGGCACATCTGATGATGGGTGATGGAAGATAGAACGCCTAAGTAATAGGCTTATGCTGCTTGGGTAGTGAATGTGAATCAGGACTTCAGGACACTCCTGCTGCTGTTTCAGATTCTGTCTGCAGACGCCGCCATTGTTCGTCTTCCTGCAGAGCGTCATCGCCAGCTGCAGGGCTTGCTTGCTGGAGACGAACGGGCTGAATCATTGGCGGCAGGTCATGTCCGTCGAGTCGTTGCAGTGGGATCTCCTCGGGGCTAGCCGGATGACTGGCTTCTGGCGTCTCTGGTCCCGGCCAGATCATCCACACTGAGCCAGACTGTAAGCGCAAGAAGGAGGAAACCACAATACAACACACGTGTCGGTCCCAACACACGTGTCGGTCCCAAATCACACAACATGTTCCATACTCCTTTTAGTCAGCTGCTTAGTGTGGAGATCCTGATAAAGCTGGAAACTGTAATTGGTAATGGCACCCCCGGAATGAAGACACACATTTTTTCATTTAAATATGATTCAATGTACATCACTGGCATACGGGAATGGTAGATTAGTTACTCGTTCGTTGAATTTGTAATTTTGTATTCAAGAAAACAATCTTTGGAAATTGCAGTATATTATCACTTTTCTGCATACCCGTCAAGACATTTGTGGATCAATAAAAGATTTACACTGTCAGACGCAACCGACAAAAGACAGTCACAGAACCAATCGGAAAACCTCACCGTTGCTATAAAAGCGCTGGCAACATAACCAAAGAACACGCCGGGGACGATGGAATATGTTGTCGGGTCTACACAGAAATGCCAAGCAAGTAACAATACACCACCGACTTTAAAAACCAGACTGACGACGAGACAGCACTCAGTGCAAGCAGCTAGTTCTAAGGCACGGATCTCCATCAAGCAGTCAGTTCTAAGGCACGGATCTCCATCAAGCAGTCAGTTCTAAGGCACGGATCTCCATCAAGCAGTCACAGTGACTGAAAGCTGGACAGCTACACTCATCACTGGCCAAGAGTTAGTAACATCAGTTTGAGTCGTGATTTATGCCAGCAGTTTTCCTTTATTTTAAGCTACAATAAAGCAAAGTATATTATTACGTGTCTTCCTGGCAGGGACTTGCACTGAACAACCAGTCCATCCCAGGCACTGATTAATCTTTTCAGACATCAATCCTGAATGGCATAAGCGAAAGTGGCACCCCCACCACCTTCGCGGATATGCTTTTAATAATAATAATATACTAGTTGAGGGAATGGAAAGCTGAAAAGTCTGAAGAAAAATTGACTGCCACCACCAGGAGTATTAAAATCTTTGCTCCGAATTAGGTCTGCAATATACAGACCTTTTTCATCATGGAGCTTTCGTTTGGCAGATTTGGCAGAAATATGATGGATGAACGGGGGTTCTGGGTTAACAAACATCCAAACGCAATGCCGCCAGTAGGCCCGCCACACATGCCAAGTATACATATACTTGAGCTCTTGCTATCAGAGGGGACTATACTTGGTACTACAGTTCTGCCGGTTGCCATAGAGCTCAGCCTCCTAGCCTAGACCGTTCTTATTTTAATGCATGACAGTTGTTGTCTCTAAACAGTTGAGTCACCGTGTATATATTGGTATGCTGTGCTTGGTAAAATTCTAGCCTGGCCGTTCTTAGACGCTCCGTTCTTCGGCGCCCGACAGTACTGTAGTCTCATACAATGTACATGCTTGAATGACAACAACAACAACAACAACAACAACAACAACAACAACAACAACAACAACAACAACAACAACAACAACAACAACAACAACAACAACAACAACAACAACAACAACAACAACAACAACAACAACAACAACATTTAATACAAACCTTTAATCTAAGTACAAGTACTAGTATACAGTAGTGAGTGCACGGTGGCGCACAGTTCTGAAGTTGGTTGTTCCAACTAGGAATACACGCTTCTTGCCGAACTTGACACTTGACTGCTAAGTTCGGGTGCTTTAACTGTAGACTGTAGTGCACATGTTTTTAACATGCATGGGCGCAGAATAAAAGAGCTTGACGCAACAGTCAACTTTTTGGAGAAATCCTGCCAGAAATCAAGGGTACTGGATTAAAGAAGCTCAGACTAAACTGGCCCTTTTAACAATTTGGAGTCACTAGGAAAACCCAGCAGAATTGAGAGCAGTATTCCATGCATTTTCGTTTGTTGTATTTATTGATGTGACTACGATTACGCCGCGATTTCAGTACAGTTAGATCGCATCAGCAGGGCTCGGAGTGGCCAAACTGATCGTGAATAAGTCTAGGGAACAATTTTTTTTAAAATTGGCATACATTTGACCCTTCTGATATCGAAGGCAATGGGAAGAAATTCAAGAAACTACCCTCATCCCCAAACAAAACGAACTAGAGTGCCAGCGTTGCCTTGCTTACATGAATATTGCCGCAGTTGCATATTGACCAGTGTCGATTTGAGGAGGCAGCCAATGGCAACGGTCAACAGTAGAAGGCCAATGATTGTCATCTCTGGAATCTAAAACCATGATTGTATAAACCAGACGGAGTGCAGAGCGGTTAGAAAAGAAAACTACTGCAGTGTTCCTTACAGCCATTGCCCAGTTCAGGTATGGTCTTGCCATGCTGACAACATCGGCTCTTGCGAGGAGGGAATTTCCACTGACAAATTATTCCCATTCATAAGGAGGAAACAGCAGCTGCAACAAACAGCCTGGCTCATTTTAAAAAAACACTATTCAAAGTTCTCGAGGCCTGTTTTCACAAGGCTCAATCAAACGCACATGGAGCGGAATAGACTGAGCAGATCTGTCATCAGCGAACTGTCCCGACGTCGTCCATTGCTCTGATACGGCCAGCCGTATACCCTGGTGCCACGCGGGGAAAAAACTGGCGGAATTGGAAAGTTGTCGTGGCAAAACTTGATGACCATGCGTTGTTAGCCTTGGCAGCATAGCATGAAAGGTCTTTCATGGCAGTGTGAGTGGCGTTACCGGTCATCAGTCCGACTGAACACGTCCTTACAGGGGGAGCTCGCAGCTTGGATCCTGTTCAATACGCATCCTGTACCAAGCCTTCTACAATTGAGGGGGGAGGGGGGGGGGGGGTATACGAGGAGTAGGGAGGGTGTGTGTGTGTGGGGGGGGGGGGGGTAACAGTTACATGAGGAGTCCGGAGGGTATGTGTGTGTGGTGGAGGGGGGGGGGGGGGGTACATCATGAGTAGGGAGGGTGTGCGTGGGGGGGGGGGTACATGATGAGTAGGGAGGATGTGTGTGGGGGGGGGGGGGTACATGAGGAGCAGGGAGGGTGTATAATTATTATTTATATGTGTATGGGGGGGGGGGGGGGGGAGGGCTGCTCCAGCGGCTGTAGCCCACACCCTATTGCACGTAGACACACTTGCAACAATAGCGCTTACCGGGTGCAAAACAAATCCAGAGGTGTCCACACACCATGGACAACACGAAGGATGGGCATCTCAGATACGCTTTCGGTTTTTCGGCTTGAAACAGAGTCATAACAACTGCCGCATCTTCCGGGGTGTTATCCGCACCGAAGGCTAACCCCCACCCCCTTTTGGGCCCAAACATGGTATTTTTGTTAACATTCAGAGCATAAGCCGCACGTCAGACTTCAAAGTTTTGGTAACCTAACTTAATGGGTACCAGTGCATTCAAGACCTTACCAAAAGCAAAAGTTTCCTAGTTTGTCCTTCACTCAGAACGGACAACATGTAGAAGCTACATGCTAGAGCAATGATGGGTTGCAGCGCATGAAATGTAGTCGAATGACACCATACATGTATGGCGTGCTGTACCGCTGGTTAAGTTAATGCCCGAGTGTACCCTATATTCCAAGCCGACACACCTGTGGTATTTACCTTTTTCGGATTCTTCTTGAAAACCAGCTGTGACAGCAGTGACACAAGAAGCAAGATAGTAGCTGGAAGAGTGATGACCACAGCATCCACCAAGGCAGGATTGAAAACGTCAAATGTCGAGTTCTGTGAATACACTTTGTAAGGAGAATCGACTTTCCAACAAACTCTCAAAGAGAGAACTGTGTGTCTGTGCCTGTTGGATACACTGACTCGCTATTTGAAGTATAATAATGCAGTTAAATCTCACTGGAAGACATGTATGCCCCTCTGGTCTGTGTACCAGTAGAGCATCACAATGAAATAGACTGCAAAGCCGTCTACACGTATAACCAAGAAGAAACTTGTGACACACACACACACACACACACACACACACACACACGCACGCACGCACGCACGCACGCACACACGCTCGCATGCACGCGGCACATACACACAGCCCCCACCACCACCACCACCACCATACACCATGCACCACCACCATACACTGTGCACCACCGCCACCATGCACCACAAGCACAATGCAGCAGAGACAGGATACACATACTGCAGATGTCGCCCAGTTCTTAGCCAGTGTTGACTGGTCGTGCATAGCTGTGTACCAAGGCTCGCCCTGTAACTCTGAACTGTGCGCTGCCTCGGAATAACATGTTTGAAAGAAGATCACAAGACCTGTGGACGCAATCAAGAGAACCTGGCAACAAACAAACAAACAATACAGTCGGTACCGCATTTCTATGCAGGAAATTGTTTTTGACGCACTATGTCATGAGGGGTGTGAGGGTTCTTCCACATGCTGTGGACCGTACGATCGGACGCAGGATGGTTCTGCTGTACACGAATCTCATCGGTCCCTCGATTGAATACAAGGATAACATGGACTCGAGAGTTGTGAAAACGTTTCTCGTGCAAACCCTGAGCGGTGTGAACAACCATGTGTTCTCACAGAGCGACAGACGGATCATGCTTCAAAACGAAAGTGTGCGCCAGATGACCTTCTGGCTCAAATTCAACACCGGTGAGCTCATCACACCAGGCTATCCTATCTACCTGGACATGCGAGTCGAAAAGATTTCCTCCGTACAGTAACAGACGACTGCAGAGATGAAAATGAACTTCATATCAGGCGTTCATCACTCATGACTTTGACGAGGTCCTGATCGGCTCCTTGGCGGAACAGTACTGAGGGGGCAAGCGAGGATTCCACTCCACCTCTTGTCGCACAGCACAGCAAGGCGCCCAGCGCACAGTCATGACCGTGCTCGCTGAAGAGCAGCCAAACGGATGATGACCTGCTCTCCCATTTTCTCATCCAAAATGCTTGCCAAATCTTCCATGGAGTTTGTAGTGGATGGTGTTGTGAAAGGCCTGCAAACCAGGCACAAGTCAAGGGGTAGGACTTACCCTGACCTATCCGCAGGCTCTAGGTTTCATTATTGAAGGCCCAATCGCGTGTATCAAAGTAAAAGGCACGGCTAGAAAAGGGAAGTACGGTCAAGTCGTCGTCAAGCTCACGAGGGAGCTCAGGGATATGGTCGCCGTGCGCTTCTATGAGTATCACCGGCAATAAGGCGAGTGCTCCAGTCAGAAAGAGTGGAGCGCATCGCAACTAACTTTTACCCCACGAAGCTGACGAGTGGCCAGGGTCCTGCTAAGAACGATGGCGACATTTACGTGAAAGGAAGCTCGACAATCCATGACCAAGGGCATTTGGGCATCACTGATGCACCGGGTATCCGATAGTAGTACTGATACCAAGCCTGAGCACCACTTTTGTCCAACTGGAACTGAGAGCTGGTGCAAGTGGCAGCAGGAGCCGTGTGGTGGGGAGATATACTCACCATGATGCTATACCAGACGCCATTTTTTAAAGCGATCAAGCCTATCTACTTGCGCCTCACTGAGCGTAGTCTCCTGGAAAGGTGTTTACGTGGAGCCACGCAGAATAGGAATGGAAGTTTGAACGGACTGGTGTGGCAGATGTGTCCCAAAACAGGCTTCGGCTCACGGCAATGGGCTTGCCAGAGGGCGAATTCACTGCAGCAGCACTCGCCCAGCTTGATGAGGAAAGGCAGAAGGATGCAAAGAGAAATAGATCCATTGGGGCAAAGCCAGCAGCGGAAGGAAGAAGCGAAGAACAGTACGAAAGGGTATACAGGAAGACACATTGGATGATGAAGGTGTCACATGCGAGGCAGGCGGATTCTAAAGTATGTACTCTGTGTTGAGATCAGTGCTCCGGACACCAAAAAGTGAGCTTTTTCTTCCATTTTTTTAGGTGAAAACGGAACTCTTAACCAAGCTACTAGTGCAGGAATGGACTCAGATGGAGAGCCATGGTTTAATTTATACAAAAGAGAAAGACCAAGGAACTACAAGTTACGCTATACTGTCCACTAACACCACCAGTTACTAAACAATCAGCTCATGCGATAACATTGCACGACACTGACCGACGGCAATGTTATCGCATGAGCTGATTGTTTAGTACCTGGTGGTGTTAGTGGACAGTATAGCGTAACTTGTAGTTCCTTGGTCTTTCTCTTTTGTACACGCTACTAGTGTTGTGCTTATTTGTAGACCCCACAAAGTATATCTTTTTGGATTCTGTACTGCATTAGCTACGCATTGAATTAACTTTTGTTCTGCTTACTGGATGTACATGTATATGCGCAGCGTCTCTAAGGTTTTCTAAGGTTTTCTAAGGTTCTCTAAGGTTTTCTAATGCCGTATTGTAAGTATCTCTTTTTCAGTCTGTTAATTGTATACTTCTGTGAATCCTGGTTAAGAGTTGCTCATGCGTTAAATTTGCGCGAAGGTTTCAAATAGATATTTCTGATCTCTTTCTTTAGTTGAAGGGAACCCTCCATCTCTTTGCAACCTTCACAGAAAATTTGAAGTGATTCTGCCAAGGTACAGAAGTGTTACGTTAATTTTAGTTCCGCATTATGCCGGAAGTCTTAGTGTCCGCTGTACAGTACGTGGAAGGGCTGTGTGTGTGGGGGGAGGGGGTGATGTGTGCGCGCGCGCGCGCGCGTGTGTGTGTGTGTGTGTGTGTGTGTGTGTGTGTGTGTGTGTGTGTGTGTGAATAGTGACGGTCAATTCTTCCGCCTTGCAAGCTGTTGAATGGTGCAATCCCAGCACAAGTTGCTATGGCTTCTGCCGTAGCATTGCTATTATCGCCTCCGGCGATGGGCGTCAAAGGTCAGGTCAGGTCAGGTGTGTGTGTGTGTGTGTGTGTGTGTGTGTGTGTGTGATGTATGTTTGTGATGTGTACGCGGAATGCGTATGCATCATCGGTAACTTTATTTTTCAGTGTGTGTGCGTGCGCATGTGTGTGTGTGTGTGTGTGTGTGTGTGTGTGTGTGTGTGTGTGTGTGTGTGTGTGTGTGTGTGTATGGGGCCGAACCTGATAGCCATGAAAAACAGATCTTCCAAAGCCAGATTTAAAGCAGGCCCAAAAGTACCTTGCCAGAGTGCTCAAACTGACAAGTCTGTGAGCTCTGCGTAATGCAAACAGTGAAGGGCCTGAAGGCACTACCTCACACGAGAGTACTCAACTAGTACAAGAGCAGGAGCGAAATACTCAATCTGCGTATGTATTTTTTTTAATTGAATTCGCAAGTACTGTAAAGTCCGCTGCAAACGCCCACCCCATTTTTGCAAGATCTGCTGGCCTGTACACACACTGACACCCCTACTGTACGAAAGTGTATCTCACACCGTAACGTGAAGAGCGCTTTGCTACGGTAAACTATGTCCACTGTCCTGGTTTCAAAATCTCTTTAGGCACTAGCCACGAGCTAGCTCGTAGTGATTTTATGATGATGGTTGTTTTATTTCGCAAATCCAAACGGGAGTTTCTTCTGAATAACAAGGTAGCGAAGAACAGAGTATTGCAGGAACCAAATACACTTCTGACGGTGTTTCAAGCCATCATTTCCAAATCACACAACGCTCAAAGGCAAGTGTTTTTCTCGAGCACTTCAGAGTTTTCAACAAGTTAGCAGCGACTTTGTAGGTGTAGCTTCTGTGACATGCATGTACCCTGTTCGACTTGCAACTGCAATACTGCGACCAGTCAAGTCGTTGAATGACGCTTCGTCAGAACAATCACTGTTCCATTCTGAAAGCGCGACATCGTGGCACTGCAGAAATTTCATGAACACCAGATGGATTCTACGGCATTACCACATGGAGAGCGAACTACCACAAAGACGACTCATTTATCGAATGAAAGGAAATCTCGACAGAAGTTTTTCTTTGCAGCAAGATAATGACAATCGCTTTGGCAGAGCCTCCTGGTAAGACATAGGCAGTTTGTAGGTATTACAGCCGTTTTCGTACGCATTCGACCTTCATGCCAGTTTTCTACAACTATATTGACCTGAAAAAGACGAAAATAGTATGGACCCGCTGGGGTGGGTGTTTGCTGCGAAGTGGGCGTTTGCTGCGAAGTGGGCGTTTGCTGCGAAGTGGGCGTTTGCTGCGAAGTGGGCGTTTGCGGCGGACTTTACGGTACACACGGGCTACAAGCCCAATTACATGGAAGCGAAGGTGAGCGGAATGGAATGAAATAAGAGGGTTAAGGAGGAGGAGGAGAAAGGTCCATGCTGTATTCATCACAGGGTAGTTGTGCAGCACTTGGCTTCCTTGCTACGTTCCGCCATGATCCATTGCTGCTGCTGGGTCCCATGTGTGTCGCACAGATGGTGTCACTCTCACGTATTGCATTTTTTGCCACCTATTACTAGTCACACCTCAGAGTTCTCAGACCCTGCTGCTGTGCGCATCACTATTCCAGTTTTCTAGCACAGCTCACCGATATACATGTACCTAGGTAAGTAAAGTAAAGTTCGCACGTCCGCGTTACAACTGGCTATACAATTGTATTGAGAAACACAACCAGCTTAGGAAGTTTCGCATGTGCCAGGCCACCACCATGCCTGTGAGTGTGACACCAAGGTGGCAGATGCAGCGGCTAACGGCGAGGGTGAGATGGTAAGTCTCACAACCAATGCCCGACAAGGGGGCTAACCTCGTTAGCTGCATCCATGTTACCCTCACTCCGAGTAGTGAGTACCCAGTTGACCGTGGCTGTAGGTACTGTAAGATAATAATAAAATTAATCCCGAGTAGGTACTAGGTATCGGTTATAGCGTGGGTGTTTGAAAACAACTTTCTATTCTTATTTCCGATATTTCTTACACACGATAATTTCGATAAATCAAGTGTGGGAACGGACCACGCTTTTCCGCTCCAAACAGGAGTTGACGCTGATATTCACTGATTTTTTTCATCTCGATATCGAGGAGCTAATTGGCCACGGACAACGACAAAACTCATAAGGATGGTTGCAAGGATTGCACTGAAGGTGTTGGTGATCCCCAAGGTGAAGGAATTCGACGTCGTTTGTGGAGATTACCACTTGACGCTCGAAATGAATTTTGAATTTTCATTCTCCCCACATGTGCAGTGTGATCGCGATTCAAATTCTGGACGCTTTTCTTTTTTCGTCAGGCACTGGAAAGTTGCCGCAGTCTGACCAGGCCCTTAGGGGCCGGTCACACTGAGGGAAAATTTGAAAAAATCCGTGGTTACCATGGATAGTTGCCGCTGAGCGGGAGATTTGAGAGATTTAATCCACTCGGTGAAAATCAGCTCGAGGCCTCGCTTTTCCGCCGAAGATTATAA